ATCACCAATGGTATCAGTGATTACTGTATACCTTCAGGGACTGTGGGGGCTCGGCTCCAAGAACTTCTGGACATGTGGTAACCTTAACCATGGATCCAGGAGCACTGCTGGTCCTTGAGTCACAATTATCCACCCTACCTGTAGGGTTTCCATCTCCCACAGTTCATCAGGATTTGGAACTTAGTTCTAGACTTACCTGTGTTTGGTTTGTCTGGGGATAGTGAGAGAGTCATGCTAGTTCTTCAGAGTTTTTATTCCTCTCAGTTGTTGGGCCTATACAGACAAGAGATTGATGTCCAGTCATCGATCTTCCTCGTCTATATCAATGCCTAGATTCTCTAAGACTCACAAGTTACTCATTCCTCAACCTGTGTTGATGTTTCTTTTACTGGGATTGTAGATTACCAAGTTGGTTGTAGTCAGCTCCTATCTGCATTTTGCCATAGCAGTGGTGTTCCACCACTATCGGCATTTGTGATGCACAAGGGTCAGGTACTGCAGTTTGTGTTTTTCCCTTCAAACTCACACCAGCTTCACATGGATTCTGCCGTATTGTATGAGGTTTTTCTCGTCCCATTCATTCCATCATACTGTGCACACACCATTCCATGGATGACTGATTACTTCTGGAACCATCTTGTCAATTGTCAGACCATTACATCTTGATTCTACTTTCAGAAGCAACCAAAGCAGGCTTCCCATTCAGGACTGAGGCATCTATTCTTGCTCAAATTCAATGTGTCATCAGTCTGGGTATTTTTTATTTTTCCTATCGTCTCTCAGTCAGGCTCAACTGACTCCCATCCAGCTCAATGCTATAGAATAGGATGCCACACTTGTACTCACTGCTCCCACTGCATGGATGGTTCTTTTCCTTCTGGGAATGTGGGCATCACTTGAATCCATCGTGCCTTTAGGACCATGAGATCATAAACATTGATTCCCTGGTTTCCCCAGTTTCCTTAGTCGGGATAATTCTTCAATCCCAAGGGGTTGTTAAGTCAGGACACTACTAAGATATGGGTTCCTCTACTGCCACTTCCTCCAAAGTTCCATCTCTTTACAAATGTCTTGCTTCAGGGATGGGGTGCATAAACCAACAGTCAGGAATTCCAGGGTACATGCATGGAAAAAGAAGATTCCATACACAATGGTTTGGGCCTTCTTGCTTTTCAACAGGCATTGCCTCATGGTCTGGGCTTATTAAGGGGTAAATCACCAGGCTTCACTCTGACAGTTCAGTGGTGGTATCTTGTGTTTCTCATCAAGGAGGAACATGGTCTAGGTCTCCTTGTTTTCAAACTTTAGATTTCCTTCTTTCAAGACTAGTCCTATCTTATCACTCTTCTAGCTTGCCATGTTCCATGGGTGATGCCTGTGGTAGCAGGTCAATTGTCTCAATCCGACCAGTTTATCCTGACAGAATAGATGTTGCATTGCAAGGTTCTTTTGGATTGGCCCTCATTTTGCAACTCTAATTGGTGGGTTGGCCTCTCACTGGATCACCCAACTTCTGGCTATTGGTCTCCAGTAACTCATCTTTGCGCTTTGGCACTAAATGTATTCTGTCAGGACAGGATTGGATTACAACTCTAAACCTTCTTTCCACTTCATATGTTACCCAGGGTATGAAATATGATTTGTTCCAACCCATTGTCAGATCATGTTGATAGCACTAGATTGGCTGCTACTCTCAGGTTTCTGCTTCTGCAGTCACTTCCAGTGTGTCCAACTCTTCCGGATCATAAAAACTTTGTTTCAGGAGCTTGGGTATGCAGCAAAACTCCAGTTATGTGTTGTAGTATCAATGAGAAATAGTGACCAGATGAATTGGAGAAAAGGATTGAACCCCATTCCCATCTGATAGTGTGTTGGTAAGAAGAACTGGTCTGAGGACATAGAGAGAATGAGAAAGTGATCTGTGGACAAACAGCGCAAATCACTCTGATCAGTGATGTCCATAGGTCAGCAGCCACAAAAAATAGACTAGCAGGTAAAGGGAACTCATGGCATATAAGAGTCAGGTCACAAAGAGGTGTACAGAAAGAACACATAACCTGAATCTACCTGTTAGGTAACTGGAATGGTCATTTGGGATCAATTACCCAAAACGATGTGAGAAATCTGGAGAGTACTGGGGACTCAAAAAATTTGTAGTTACAATAATCGGATGGTAGTCAATAAAGCTGCCTTAAACAAGGTGATTGTGGAAGATACAAAAACCTCTGCAAATAGCCAAGTTCTCTCACTACACCATTGCCAATATGCATGTAATTACCGTTGATAAATGTGCCTTTCAGACTAAGCAGAAACTGAGACAAATATATGGCAATCTTAGAAATGAAAACCCTGATGCCGTGTGAAAGACAGCATAACCACTTTGCCAGAAGCTTGAGCTTCTGGATAGTTGGGTGTAATATATCAGACCATTGCTGCCTCCACATAGAGAGCCTAAAACAAAAAGTAGAACAAAAACTGATGTAACTCTGATGAATACATGACTCCATTTGTCTTGAAAGCAGTGATCAGGTAATCCAGAATAAATAATTTTGTTGCAAAGTTTACTGATGCTCTTAATTCCAAAGAAGTGAAATTCTTTTGCATTCTTGCAATGTATTTTAGAACTATTTCTAATATGCAAGTCAGTATCTTAGAATTTAAATCATAATCAGATGAGACCCCTGACATTTTTGTAATACATATTATGGACACAATAAAAAAGAATCAACTTTCAGGCAAGTTTATTGCATTTTGTGCTCATAATACTTTTAGTAACTTGGATAGTGAGCACGGAC